CTCCCCTCCGCCTTCTGCAGGAGCCTCGGACGGGGCAAGCCCGTTGCAGAATGGCAAGCGGATGCGCACGGCCTTCACCAGCACGCAACTGCTGGAGCTAGAGAGAGAATTCTCTTCCAACATGTACCTGTCTCGGCTGCGGCGAATCGAAATCGCCACGTATCTCAACCTGTCGGAGAAACAGGTGAAGATCTGGTTCCAGAACCGGAGGGTGAAGCACAAGAAGGAAGGCAAAGGCACCCAGAGGAATACGCACAGCGGCTGCAACTGCAGCAGCAACCCAGGACGTTACCCGAGGTCTGAAGACGAAGAGTCGCTCTCTCCGGCTTCGGGCAACGAAGACAAAGACGTCTCCCCTTTATGAACGGACAGACACCCTTGTGGGACTTCGAGGATCGCTCGTCCTGCCGGGCAACGGCAAGCAGAGATCAGAGCCGCCAGGAAGGAGGGAGAAATGACGCTTCGGAGCTCTGTCCACCGCGCTGGTGCTAGACCGAGTGGAACGGAGCGCGCCCGTCGAATGAAGCAGTGCGGATTCTGCAGAAGCCAGCGAGATTCATGCCCGCTCACCCGCCCCAATCCGGTATGGGCCCGCAGTCCCTGCTTTCCGGTCCCACAGTCTTGGCTTTCCCTATAAGTAGGAAGGAGGGTGAGAACCTTCTCTTCCCAGGTCCAAAAATTCGAGGGAGGGAGAATCTTATCCAAGTCAGATTTATGGGGAAAAGTTTAGAAAATGAAAAACTTTGGTCTTAAAAACTCTCCGTCCTTTTTTGTACAAATCTTTATAAAAAATGGGCAATGGAAGAACCCGAATTATAGTTGTGCTGATTTTCTGGCTTATTATTGTGAATAATTTTATATCAGATTTATATTTGTATTTATTTAAATAAAGGAGGTGGCTTTTGCTTTTGTAAAAGAAAATAGGACTCTATTTTTAAAAAAACGGCTGCCCCAATTTTCTTTCAAAAGAAAAGGCTTGACAGCACAATCCTACGGCAACTTTATTGAGAAATAAATCATCATCATCATCATAGAACTACAGAACAGGAAGGGATACTATGGATCATCAAGTTCAAACTCCCAAACTTTGGTTCCACAGGCAGATACTTAAACCATGGAGTTATCCAGCAGTATCTTGCTATACAGTCAGTAAGACTCCCTACTATGAGTATTCATGCTTGAAGCTTTAGGAGTAAGTTTTCTAAAGAGTTGAGAATTAAATTTGGAGAGGGAGGAGCTACTCAGCTTTTCTAAACCTAAACCTGCTTAAAATCCATGAAGTCGAATGTAAAGGTAGTTTATAAAGTGAATTTGGGGACTTCAACTAAATGCAATGTGAGTGAAAGGAAGGCTACTTACTGTTCAAGAATCTGCTTCAGAGTGAGAGCCCCCTAGTGTTTCTGATGTTATTGGACTCCCCACAGATGGTCTCCCCTCCTTTCCACATGAATAAGCATGGCTACTAGTCAGATATGATAGGAATTATAAAGAAGCTACATATCCCCCACTCTTGTTGTAGGGGGTCTGGAACAACAATTGATGGAGAGGCAGGGGATCTCAGAAAAGAAGAGAAATAACTTGTTTCTTTCTTGCTTCCCTACCCTACTCAAACATTCCCTTCATATGCTATAAATTGATGAAAGAGTCAGCTGCCAGATTTGAACTGGAACATTTTATTGCAGGGCCCCTCACCATTTGGCAAAGTGAGGTGGTTGTCTCTTCTGAAACCCCCGGCCATTCTTCTCTATCTAAGGATAAAACTGTGCGTGCTGCATGGCTTGTCTTCACCCCCTAAATTGACCTGTAGTGGTGCAGTGAAGGATTCTTTGTGTCTGTTGACACATGCTTCAGTTGCCAGTTGAATCATCCAATGTCTATGGAGCAGAGGGAGAGTCAACTTTTCTTTGCCTCAGGCAAAAAAGTCTTGGGCTGCCACTGCTCTACTGCCATATTTGTTACCTGACATCAATCAGCTTATAGCAACCCCCAATAGGGTTTTCACACTAGGTGAGATATTTAACTCACACCCTTAGTGAGTTTCCATGGTTGAGTGGCGATTTGAACCCAGGCCTCCTGAGTACTATGGAAAATTTTCTTCTGTTGAAGGCAACATACCTGGGTTAACAGGGTTTTCACACTAGGTGAGATATTTAAGGAGTGGGTTTGCCAGTTGCACGCCCCTAGTGAGTTTCCATGGTTGAGTGGGGATTTGAACCCAGGTCTCCTGAGTACTATGGAAAACTTTCTTCTGTTGAAGGCAACATACCTGGGTGGGCGGTGGTGGTCCATTGGGTGCTGCATGTTGGGGATTAACAGGACCACAACAGAAAATGAGCTTACCCCCTTTCTGTTATCCCATATTTCTCCCTTCCCAACCCTGACACTTTTAAAATCACATCCAGAGCTGCAGGTTGCCTACCCTCAGTACATAGGATTGGGGAAAATATTTCTGATAAGTGAGAAAGGGGGCGAGATGAATCATCATTTTCTCTTCCTTCCATCTGAAAATAATCCAGATAATGTTGGAGGAAGAGTTTTCTGTTTCATGACACATATTGGTGTGATATGAATTCTTCTCCAAGGTTGCATATATAGGTGTTGTGGAAGTGTAGTAGAGTTTCTGAAGGAGAAAAATGTCCTTCACACTTTCTTTCTATTTAGACCTTCTGAAACTCTCTCTCTCTCTCTGTGCGTGCACATGCGTGCACGTGTGTAAAAGATCTCACTGCTCCTGAGGCAAGCAATGTATTTTCACATTTTTGATGCAAAAAAACCCCTCTGAATCCACAGATCTGCAACAAAATATTTTCAAAATCAGAATGGGTATAAAATCTATGCCAATTTTTTAAAAAACTGAAATTTGGCATGGAGGTCAATATGGGTATTGATAATATAAGGAGGTGACTTTGCACATCTGGGCTTACTAGCCAACTGTTCTGGGTTATTTTGGTCAAAGGGGTGACCTCTGTCAACTATCAGATCCAAATATGCTGATTTCACATGTGCTAGCAGAGCAGCCTGTACTGATATAAACGCAGCTGTATTGAAAGTATTTCCCTGACTCTCCTGTGAAAAGTCTTGAACAAATCCCCCTGAAGGTAATGGAGTGGGCCTGTGGGAATTATGTCTTCCCAGCTGCTCAAGAAAATTGCTTCAAGGGCAAGATAGAAATCCTGCAGTTGGGAGTTGCTCTGTTTTTATTAAGAGCAAGCTAAATTTTCTACTGTTAGGACAAGATGTGAATAAATGGAAAACAATGTATGATAGAAAACTGTATATGGAATGTTACAGTGCTTAACACCCATGGTAAGTAGATAGAACAATAAACATGGTGCTCATGGCAACTGATTGATTGATTGATTGATTCTGTCTATGAAACAAGCACTGACTAATGCACAGAAAAGCTATCTTTTTTCATATAACAATGCAAGCAAGCCACCATATTGAATTAGAATCTGCTACTGAAGTTTTGATTTTTTTTTTTAAGGAGAAGAAGAGGGGAGGAGTACTAGGATTTTGGTTATTTCTTTTGCTAGCATAAACCAGAAACTCGAAAGCTTGAAGAGATTTAGTCTCACAAGCCTTCCTTTGGGACACATACTCTAGTCGTTTTATAATAAAAAGTGATCACTCTATATGCATCTTAAAAAGAGAGAGAGAACTGAGGTTGGCTCCCAGTCATCAGCTGTAGTTACAATTACAAGGAAAGAGACAAAATGGAGTTTCTAGGCATGGAGAAAACTTTTATGCTTGTTTCTTGAAGTGCAGTCAGAGAAGAAGACAAACAACAACAACAAAGGTACCCAAAGCAAACAGGAAGAAGGATCTGACCCAATTATAGAAGTGGGGGAAATCTCTACCAATCAAGTTAGTAGCAATGACTAAAAACAATAGAGCGTGTCCCCTCCCACTGACACTCAGTGTTAAGGCATGCAAGATCACAGTTTCCCCAAAATCTAAAAGTGTGATCTTCATCAAAACTACAATATATCCTTGCCTCCTAGAACCAACAAGGTCAACACTTGCCATTCCATAGCTATGGATCATGCTTTGTCCCCATTGACCACTAGGGTTTTCTACTTTTTCTACATTTACAAATGATGAGGTTTCCTCAGATACATTTTCCTCTCAAAGATACTTTGAATTGTAACTATTGTGACTTTAAACCGGCTCCCATGCTGTCAGCACTCATCACTTAAGGTAACGAACATGACAGGAATAGGCAACTGTGGCCCTCTAGGTGCTATTGGACTGAGACACCAGGAATCCCAGCCATTCTAGTCAGCCAATCAGTGCTGAGGGGTTAATGGAGCTGGCATTGAGCAACACCTGGAAAGCCACAGCCCCTTACTCCTGTATGCAAAGGAATGTATATGTGCATTTCTCTATTCATTCATGCAAGGTTTATTACTAATGGGTTTTCTCCTATTGGTTACTGTAGCATTCTCTAAAAACATCTTAGACAAACATATAAGTTAATTAAGTTGATTGATCATTAAGTTCAGAAAAAACTGAGGTTTCTCTGTAACTTTCAAATGGCAAAAAAACCCAACAACAATAGGTTACTTCTAGGTGATGAAAAAAAAAGTGCAATCACAAACTAGCCTTATCCTAGCCTAAGCCTTGTAACTGGATGTGCAGTACAACAAATTGCCCTCTGGAGTCCTACACTTGCCTTAAAGTATTACCTGTTCTGGCTAATAACATTATCTCAGTTCCACTTGCAGCCATAGCCTCCCAGGACAGAACTATGTCTTTGAATTCATTGGTGATCAGTGCAAAACCTCAACCACCACCAGCAACAAACATGCTTCTTCCCCCTTCATTGCCCTCCTTGCTCAGCTGATGAATGCTTAGGCATAAAGCTATCCTTGAGTCTCCTTTTCACCTTATATTGAGCCCACATACCCTGTGGCAAGAACATTTGATTTACTGGACATTTTTGGACTTTACCTTCTACAAGATCTAGCCAACAAGGCCGATGGTAAGGGATCCTGGGAGTTGTAGTCCAAAACATATGAGGTCAAAGATGTCCCATCCTTGCCCTGCGGATTTCTTTTACTCCTGACAATCTTAGCAGTGTCTTCAATTACATGAAATTGTAACATTGAGGAAATTACAGCCATGAGTACCAATGGTACTGAACAGTGGACTTCAGGAACTAAGTATGTGGCCCAGGAGCCCCTGAGGGAGGGTCAAATAATTGCCACTACTGGGAAGAGGAAACAGACACAAAATTAACATCTAGCATGGGCAGATGCCTACAGAACCTGTGGCAGCCTTATTTCCTGCTCTTTAAACGAACAAACATCACCAAAAAATTCCACCAGATGATGTTACATGGCGAAGGCCCTGAAGCCTAGA